TACACCCGGCTACGCTGCTTCGCTTCTTCTTCTTCTTTTCAACATTTATTTAACAAGTTTGATATCTTAACGCATTTCTGTGTATAACATCTCATTGCCATGTGCTCTATGCTTTATTTTTATTCACTATGCAAACGTTCTGATTATGATTACTAAAAAATGTGTCACCAGCATCTAATTCTCTCAGAATGTTTTTAAGATTTTGTTTAGCTTTCTTTCAGGACTAAAATAAGTACTTCTAGTATAATAATTACATTGTTTATGTGGATCAATGTGCTTTCACATGGGTTGATGGTGCGGATCCGGTAGTGACCTTAAGCTAACTAACAGCTAACTACCTGGAGAGCCGGCTTCCTCATTGAAAAGTGCTACAAAATAAACCAATCCCTTCTTTAATCGATAGATTATTATGATATAAAACCTTACTGCTCTGAGCCATATATATAAATCTGATTTCCAGCATCAACTTGTGAATTTCAGACACCGAACAGTTAGCTACTTACCGTTGATGCTAACCGTGACAGCAGGGCCTGTCTTCGGGCTTTGGCTGCTCAGCGTCTCTCGGCACAGAAACGGTTTCTTTGGATCAATCAGAAACTTTTCTGATTTGACAACAACACTGGGAACCAGAGGTTTCAGGGGCCCCGCTACAATAAACGCTGTGGTCTGCAAATAAGGGGAAAATGCCCCCGAACGCGCAGCTAGAGACATCATCCTGGCGCCGCACTGCTCAGACGACCTTGTCTTCTTCTTCTTCTTCTTCTTCTTCTTTTTCTTCTTCTTCTGGTTCTTTATGGAACTTTTTGGCGGTTGCCACGCAACGAAATGGTTCATTACCGCCACCCACTGGTATGGAGTGTGGATCAGAACGGCTACTAGTTTATACCAAACAAACAAGTAACAATAAAATTAACAAAACAATATCAACAAAGCCAAAATAAGATTCAGATCCTTTCAATTACATTTATTAATCTAAGATAATGAAAAACAATAACATAGCACTTATCTCTTGAGTTTTTTCTAAGTATTTCTATTAAATCAAATTGTATTCTTTCCATTTTTAGATTTTGAATCATTTCTTTCCTTTCTCTTTCATACTTCCTACAGTATACCATAATATGTTCAACTGTCTCTTGTTACTCACAGTATTCACATCTGCCATTGTTATGTTGATCTATTTCTAATAATTAATCCTGCGTGCCCAAATCTAAGTCTTGATATAATCGTTTCCTCTCTTCTGTTCCTCCCTGCACATCTCATTTCTCTCACTCTTCTCTGAATCATGTAAAACCATCGTCCTTTCCTCTCTTCCTCCCATTGCTCTTGCCACCTTTCCTTAATCTTCTGTTTAATGATGCTCTTTAATTCCATCTTACTACTTTTAACTGGCACATCAATATCTTTTCTTGTAGCCTCCTTTGCAGCCTTATCTGCCATTTTATTTCCTTTAACTCCCCTATGTGCTGGTACCCATAAAAATATGACTGTAATGCCCATCATTTGAATTCTATTTAATAGGGTGATCATATTTTCATTTGGGAAAACCAGGACACCTTGTGTCTCATCTAAACATCCCTCACTTAACAATAAATGTTAACAATAACTTTCAACTCCCAATAACAGATGATACTCAGCCTCAGCAATGAACGAAATAATGTCTGTTCTGTAGGCTATTGGAAAATATAAATTAACAAATGGATAATTTGTTAGTTCCCTGGTTTGACAAAGTACTGTGGGATCAAGCTAGCTAACCCGCACTGACGCGGCTCAGGGATTACGTCACACACAGCCGTGCACAGTGCCCTAGTGCCTGTAAATTTAATGGTCCAATTAAGGTAATTTAAAAAACAGGAAATTTCCCCACTTTCTAAAAAAAAACCCGGGATGCCCGGGACAGGACGTGAAATACGGACGTTTGGTCACCCTACTATATAATGTTTGCTGGATTTCTATCAAAATATCTGCTCTGCTATCTGAGTGACTTCTCTGTAAACTAATTATTGAAGAAGATGAGTCTGAACAAATAATCCCTCTCAGTGATCTTATTTCCTCAACCCATTGCACTGCAAACAGACTTGCTAGCATTTCTCCTGTGTATACTGATATATTATCACTGCTCCTCTTTCCTACTGTTATATGAAACTCTGGAACAATAAAAGATACTCCTATCTTGTTATCTAAACTTTTTGATGCATCTGTATAGATCTGAATGAAACTATAGTAACTATTAATATATGCCCGTATTGTATGTGAATTCAAAATAAACCCCTTGACCTTGTTTTTCTTTTGTAATAGTGTCAGATCTACTTTAGCTTCAGGTAGAATCCAAGGTGCTATTGCTGGCAGTGCTACTGTTGGACTGAACTTTAAATCAGTTAATTCTAACTCCATTGCTTTTTGTTTAACTGTCCACCCAAAGCTTTTACTCTCCCTCTTCTCCATTTCCCAACAAGATGTTAAAGTGCTTTGTGCAGGATGATCTTCACGGTGACCCTGTAAATTAGCCCAATAGGTCAGAGATAACTGAATTCTTCTCAACTCAAGTGGCATTTCTCCCATTTCCACCTGTAGTGCTGCTGTTGGAGTTGCTTTATATAAATAACCAGAAAGAACAAAATAAAAATCAAACCACTAAGACTATAAAACAGGAGTAAAGCAAAACTGAACACTAAAAAGAAAATATAACAGAACCAAGATTAAGACAGTAACTGAGAAAAACCCAAGGAACACAACAAAATAAGAATTAAACCATCAACACCTATAAAACAAACAGCAAAGCAAAACTGAATACCAAAAGAAAAACATAACAGAAACAGAAACCTAACATTATCAGTATTATACATTCTCCTCCATTACCCTAACCTCTATCTCTACTGATGCGATCATATCCTTTTATAACAAACTCTAATTCTGGTTTAAGCCATGTTCTTTGAACACATATGAGTTCTGGTTTATTTTTCAATTTTAAAAAAATCCCTTAAACTCCTCACCCTTTGCTATTAAGCTTATTACATTCCACTGTACAATAACCAGTTTGCCTTTTCACCTGGGCCTCCCAATTTTCCATCTGCTTCAAGTCTTGTTTTGATATGTTTCCAAGATACATCTTTTATGCCCCAAAACATCTCAGCTCCCTTAACTACTATTTTAATTGTCTCTGTTTTGTGTTTAACTTGATCAGTACAGTTGATCACATATGCTAAAATAATCTTCTCCACTGAGAGCTCTCTATTTGTTTTACCTGTTTGACCTGGTTCTATTCTCAACACCTGGATAACATTGTCGGTATCCACCCTTAGTCTTTGTCCTTGCACTTTCTTCACTGCTTCTGCATAACTTATGTTGTTAATTGTTTTAGCCTGCTGTATTTCTATAATCCAGTCTGTGAATATTGAAAGTTCAGTTTAATATAATCCAGTCAGTGAATAGTTCCGTCTGAGATGAATGAAAATAGTTGTTTTAATGGTTATAGAGTCAGATATGTGGCTGTAGTGTTTGGTTTATCTAAAGGTTTTTATCTGTAACTGTATAAATGGGTTTGGATTGAATTTAAGGACAGATTCTAATAGATCTGCAGGGGGGGGGACTATAAATCTGATTTAAATTTTTATTGTTATTTTGCACAATTTGCTTAACTAAGTATTTTTGTTATTGAATATTAGAGATTTTGTAGATATACTTTTATACATACATTGTTTAGATTTACTTATATATTTCTAACCCTTTTATAGAATAGAATAGAAAATCTCTTTATT